AAGAACTGCTAACTGAAATTCTGAAATGTGTTATTGAATCGAAAAGACAACTTAAGTGGACTTGTAATATAAATCATCGTAAAGAATAATACGAAGATTTTTCAGTTAATCTGAGATGCCGGCTTTTGAACGAACTCCTTTGTGACCGACTGAAAAACTATACCGGAAAAATGACTACTTACGTAATAAGAATGTATCATTTATTTTCGATGCATTATAAATTTCGATATGTTTCATTGAAAGCATTCACACAAATATTCATTCTTTTACGCATTTGATAGTAGAGTGCATTTGTAAATTGTATGCTTAAAGGAAGAGTACACTTCGGTTTTCAAAAACGTCTTCCCTTCCCAAGTAATTTCGAGCCCATCCTGCCGTTAAACTAACATTCAGTAATCTCACATTGCAAGCAGAAATTTTTCCCTGTATGCAGAATTATGCATTCCTATGTGCCGCTTGAAAAATTACACTGCAGAAAATACTGCTTATGTAATGTAAATTTTATTATTGATTTTTGATGCCCTCATATCTTCAAATATATTTCATAGAAGACATTCACACTTATAGTCATTTTTTGCGCATTTGCCAGTAATCTACATTTTCAAACTTCATCCTTAAAGGAAGGGTATAATTCGGTTTTAAAAAGCTTCTAATTATGAAATTTTTAGGGCTGCGAAATGTCTGTTTATAAAACATCACGTCGCTACTAATGTCACTCGTAAAGTTTTTAATATGGTTCAGGTTTCACTGTTAAATGAATGAAGCGTATGTTGTATCCTCTCAGTGGCGCATAGGAATGTATGATTTTGCATACAAGGAAAAATTGCTGCTTGTAATGTGAGATTCCTGAATGTTAGTGTCACGGCAGGACGGGCTTCAAATCACTTGAGAAGGGAAGACGTTTTTGAAAACCGAAGTGTACCCTTTTTTAAGCATACAATTTAAAAATGCACTCTACTACCAAATGCGTAAAAAAATGAATATTTGTGTAAATGTTTTCTATGAAACATATCTGAATTTATAAGGCATCAAAAAATCAATGATAATATTCTTACTACGTAAGAAGTCATTTTTCCAGTATAGTTTTTCAGGCCGTCAGAAAGGAGTTCGTTCAAAAGCCGGCATCTGAGAGCAACTGAAATATTTTTCTATTATTCTACACGACGATTGACATTACAACCTCGCTTAAGCTGTTTTTTTCGAAAAGCCAAGATGGCGAACGCACGTTTTCGGTAATTCTTCCTCAGGCCAATACAATTACATGAACGAATGAAAATGTACAAATTCAACAGTGTTTATAGATGCCTCAAGGGCTATTAAGTCACCAACATTCATCATCCCCACGCCGCCCGCATGGGGAGTCAAAAACACTTTAAAAATTCCGGTTAGCATTTCACGAGTTAGCACATTTTCTGTGTATTTCCAATTCATTACAATATATAGAAATGTATAGTTTTCCTCGCACGAAAAGTATAAGCTTGTAGTTCCGAAATCCTGAATGCAAGTATTACGGCAGGTTAGGCCGAAAATTATCCATGGACTAAAAAAGATTTTTAGAACCAAAAGCTACTCCTTCTTCAAGCGAATAATTTGAAGAAAACGTACGTTTCTACCAATTGAGTAAAAAGACGTTTTTGTGCATGTTTTCCATAAATTATATTTGAATTTATAGGGGACTCCCAAATCAATGGTTGATGTCCGTGCTATAAATGTATTCATTTTGTACGAAACCTGGTTTATGAAAACGGTCGATAGGGAAGCTCGTTCGAAAGCCGGCATCCCGATGTGACTGGAGTATGCTGACATTGCGCGACAGGCTAATTAACATAACAAACACCCTAAAGTAATATGTTGCAATTAAAAACGCACTCCAGAATTCCAGTAAACATCCCACGAGATAGCATATTATTAGACCCCAAGGAATGTTTAAGAGACCCAAACAGCAATCCCTGCTCCAAAGATTTGCAGAGCAGGCCGTGTCTTGTATACTGGCGAAAGACCTTGGCAATAGCTTGAGCTTCTGGTTGTCAGTTCCTGTGCCTCCTCCGGCCCGTCTTTGCTGCTCACTATACTTATCCCGTACGCTTTTAAAAATAAATTTTCCGTTCACGCAAATGTGGTTTGTCACGAATGGAGGCGAAATTTGAGATCCAGGTATGTGTAGGTTAAAAAAAAGAAGGGTAATCGAACGATGGAGCATTCTGCTTATTGTTCTGAGCTTTCGGACTCGTGCAGGAGCCCATCGTCGGAGATGGTAGCAACAAAAGGGACAAGCGACACTTATAGAGTTTGCTGGTCAATCGTCTCTCGGGGGTGCTGCAGGTGGCTGCGCAGGGCTCTGTACGCCGGCGCCAGGTCTATAAATCGATTGGATGAGTTCTGATCAGAGGCCCAGGTTTCGACCAATTTACAGCATTTTTGTTTCCGTCGTGGACGACTATTTTGGTGCCTACGAAGTTGAGCTCATGATCCATTTCGTAGGTGCGGGCAGCCACTTGGGATACTTTGCATCCTCTTCGCACAGTCAGCTTATGTCCGTGTACAGGCTATCCGAGCATGCGCTCAGTGTGGCGTGTGTATTTACAAGGACAGTTTTGCACGAGATGCTATATACCACTCCCGAGTGCTCCTCGAGCCTTAACCAGTGCTTCATTTTCATGGGGGCTTTGGTCCTGGTGTGCAATTTAAACACCTAGTTCAACAACAGTGCGCTTTGTTGCTTCTGAAACATCCTCAATATGTGGCAGACTTGCGATGCACCTACCTCGCTCCCTCCTCCTTCCCCATTTGGACCCAGTGCCAAGACATAGCCAAGAAGACCGGAGGTGGGAAAGGGTACAAGCGGCTGGCCTGGCTCACCTTGCCCTTAGGCGTACCACAACATCGCCTAGTCAACAGTAAACACTTGACCAGGGTTTTAGCCAACATTAATGGGTCAATAAGACGATGAGGATTACTGGGCAGCCATGTTCACGGCCTTTATACGCAGTTGGAGATCAAGCGCATCTAGCGACAGAGAACCAGGTGCCATATAACTGACGACACACACCGGATTACGAGAGTCAGGGTTTGCCGAAACGCACACGCACAGAAGGTATTGCCCTTCCGCCTCCATCTCGCATTCATATGGGACCAGGCGGATTGCAGAGAAGACGTTTTAGATGCAAGATGCATCACTGCGGGCTACGTCGACTTACAAAATCTCGCCTTCCAACAGCTCAAGATGTTATTTTGTTAAAAGGAACTGTTTTTGACCAGATAGGGTATAATTTGCTATAACTCTTTGTATCCCTCGAACTGCTGATTTTCACCTGTTACTAACGAATCCCGTGTGAGCTTCCAGATTATTGATACATCATCTGTGTTTCTTTTAATCCTAATACCTTCAGCATAAACAGATAGGCCTTTAAATGTAGTCCACAGATTACCTGTCCTTTCCTGTCCATTTTTAGGCCTGTGTACGCATTTAGATGTGTTTTTCCAGCAGAAAAGGAACTTTTTTGCGTTCCACATATTTCAGGAAGCTCCTACCGTGAGTCTTTCGCCGTTAAATTCGTATTCTGATGAGTTATGTGCAGCGGCCCTTTTTCAGTATCTTTCCTCTTGATCAGTAGCTGGTTTGGAAGACCGTTCGACATTTCTTGTTTGCCCTATGATATCCTGCATGCGCAACCAGGTAGCCTTCTGTTTATATTGAAGTCCCTTCTCTCATGTGAGTTTTAGACTTTTACAAAACGGTGGACGAGAGATGAACTGTCCTGTCATAGCATAGCCCAAAATAAAACTGTGAATGAATGGTTGGAGATGAAGAATTCCCATTCTAATCATATCGAAACGTCATGATCGCCTCGCGTTCATATTCATTTGAAGGCAACTAAAATGGTACAGAGAGTTCTTTAAAGAAACGGCCAGGTGTGAAGTCTAATTCGTTTGGGAAGCCGCACTTCAAACGTCAAGTGAAAAGATGTATGGACGCAAATATCAGATGATGTGGAAAGCTCGCAAACAGGCATGTAGGTAGCAAGAGCGCTTTCAGTAGGTGATCCATCTTATGGAACGCTAATTTTAATTCTGAGGTCAGAAAATGGCATTTATTTGTAGTTTTATATATCCATTATCTTGCAGCTATATGTCAGACATGCAGTCACGAAAGGAGATTAGCTTTTAAATATAGGTCATTCCGGACACAGGGAAAAATAACCCACTCGTTAAAATTGACTACTGTTTCCATGGTTTTGCTTTGCATTCATTCCAAACGCAGTTTACTGAATTCATGCACAGATGTATCAATTCATAAATAAGCCTTTTGATAATTTACGTTTTTGCAACAGAACAGTAGAAGAAATGGCATTTTCCAGTTTTTAGTTGATAAGCATCCAGGCTCATAAGGGCTAAATGTATGGAAATCTCCGTTTGGACTCTACAAGGAGTCCAAAGGGAATAAATACGACGATATTTAAGGAGAAAGGTTCGCAATCTCAACAACACGATGGCTGCTATGTTCGTGAACTGAATGCTACTCATTGTGCTGTTTAAATGTAAAAAAGACTTAAATTGACTGCAAAATGCTCATATTTTAGATTTACAAACAAATAAAGTCGGGGGAAAACGCATTTGCGTACAGTAAAAAATTCATGCATTTGAAGTTTGGCATCCCGATGTCGCTACTATGCGTCTTTCGATAAGGCTTCATGATAACCATTACAATACTTTTTAAGTACCCTTATTTAACCAAGATCAGATTTCGGAATTTCAGTCGACGTTCCCTTTAACATGCACCAACTGTATTATCAGCGAGGTTATTGTTATTCAGTAGCGTACCTCCTAGCGAATCAGGTGCAAAATCGGTTATCTATCTTTTCAAAATAACCATTGTACTTTCAGTCTGATTGTTCTTGCTAAGGCAGAATGTCTGTGAACTTTTGAAAATTGAAGTATGCGCCTGTGCAGAAGTGTTTACTGGTCACATAACAATTTCGAACCTTAGGCGCCACAACAGTAGTTAGGGGGAAAATGTGCACTTTTATTGCAGGTTCCGTCCCGGCGCTCGGCCGGAGAGTGCGTTTTCGCGCAGATGACAGTTTGCCCTTTTTTCGTGTCAATAGGTAGTGGTCTTCTATCTAAGTATGACTGCATGTTGCACGCATGCCTTCTTGAGTGTCAAGTGTTTTTTTTAAAACAAACCCTTCAAGTCGGAGTCGGAAACATATCGCAATTCCTTGCCCTGTTTAAGCAATAGCCTTCTGCGTCATTAAACTCTGCTGAAGTCGTTTACCCTGTTTTTGCTGTGCATGTACGTCTCGGCCACCGTGGGTTTACGCATAGCAGTAAGTTTCCTTTCCTATGAATGGATACCCGCTCTTTCTTAAGATGTTCCCTTTCCTTTTTTTCTCAAGTCAGCGACTTCGAACAAGTCACTAAGCGAGGGCTCCAACGCAGCTCCATGCTTGCAGCCCGCATTTTGCTACCAAGTAATGTCAGGTACGTTTGAATCTGCAGACATTCCGTATGCAACTGTATATTACTGTTTTGTAAACAACTAGCTTTTTGCTACCCCACTGAGATCCCGCCAGTAGATCCCTCGAGCAAGAAGTGTTAGCAGTGTCAGATTTAGGTCACCGGAAGAGGACTTTGGTATGAATATATACAGATGTAACCAACGTAATGCAAAAACCTGAAAGTAATAGAGCTCAATTTTTGGAGATATCTGCGTAACTGGCTGAACTTTATTCCCTAATGAGGCGTTCAACTAAGAACGGCAGGCACATAATATATAGTAAGTGGGCTAACTCATGAATTCTCTGCAGAAATTCCGAAATGGGCTTCCGTTTTGAAAAGATTAACTAAGTAAATTTGTAAATCCACTCGTCGTGCAGCAGCATTTTATAATAATTCATTTACCCCAGGATGCCTGCTTTCGAAAAAACGTCTTTTTGGCTGCATTCAAAAACTATACTCCGTAAGAAATGGCTACGTCATAAGCATGTATTTCTCTCATGGATTTTCGATTCCCTTAGCGATTTAATTATATTTCCTGGAAAACATACATACAACTATCCATACTTTTACTCATTTGGTAGAAAATTACGCCTTCTTTTGATTTTGCACTCGAAGGAGGGTATATTTTGGTTTTGTAAAACTTTTCCAATTCCCGAATATTTTTAACCCAACCTGCCGTTACACTTGCATTCAGGGTTCCCAAACTACAAGCCGCATAATTTTCGCGTACGGAAAACCATATATTTCTCTACGGGAATAAAGGGGGACCGTAGAGGGTTCATAAAATTAGGCAGTGGATTTGAACCACACCGGTAACTTTACAAGCCACACTGGTAAATGCAGAGACGTGACGTTTTATAAAGGACCGTTTTACGGTGTTAAACAGTCTCACAATTAGAAACTTTTAAAACCGAATTAGACCCTTCCTTTGAATGCAAAATTAAAAGAAGACGTTTTATCCTACCAAACGGGCAAAAGAATGGATTTTTTGCTTGTTTTCCGTGAAATATAATCGAATTGTTGAGGGCATTGAAAATCCATAAAAAATGCATGCTACCTAAGTTGCCCTTTTTTGCGGAGTATAGTTTTTAGATGCAACCAAAAATAATTGTTTTCGAAAGCCGGCGTCCTGGGGTAACTGAATTATTATAGAATTATACTGCATGATAATTGGTTTTACAACTCTATTTAATCAATCTTTTCGGAACGGAAACACCTTGTGAAATGTCTGTTGGCATTTCATGATTTAGCTCACCTACTGCATGTTGAACTTGTTTGTGCATTAATTGTGTTCAGGTACGCAGTCATTTCAGAGGTAATACACACCATCAGTGTCCAGAAAACAACCAAAAACGGCCTGGCCTGACAAGCGCACTTGCGAAAAGGATAGGAAGAATAATCTGGTTTAATCGACGAATAATGTCCCACACACACTTTCCGGATAAAATTCTCCCTACAATGCGTGCTTGCAGACGACGGCGTCACCCATTAAGAGAACAGTCGATAGGCCGACATGTGATTTGATTTGGCCATAAGATCAGATAGCAGCGACTAAAATGATTGATTGATTATGACAATAAATAGTTCCGCCTCCGGGCAAGCAGTGATGATGCAGTAAAACAGGAACGCTCATATCATTTTCCAGGGAAATAATTGAGTAGAAAAATGGACCAGAATTAAATGACACGAATAAACAGATAAACAGGACAGTTTACAAATTTCCCTTCGACCCGCTGGTCTTTTTGCTCCTTTCAGTTCGAAGGGTTGCACTGATCGAGAGCCAAATGAGGAACGGTTCCGCGGCGGCCATCTTTTATCCTCAAAACGCATCACTTTTGCCAGTGGCTCTCTCCTTTGTTCTACAAGAGGGAACAAGTAAGTCATAATCACGTGTCTTGAATTTATTGGATGCATAAGCCAGCCGGGCGTTGACCCAAGGTGGTGTACAATAAAAATAGCACTTTCTGTCCAAACAATAATCTGTCATTCAGGGGAGAGTTGGGATATTTTAGAACAGTTCCAACAACATGAAGCGACTTCAGCGTGGATCCCAGCATGGTAAACGAGATCTAATATTCTCAATAGAACTGTGTTTCAATGCCCTTCTCTTATGTTTTACAGCAGGGAACAAGTAGGTCAGAATACCTCCTTGAGACTGTATCACCTGCATGCATTCTATAGAAGTTTGACAACAGAAGTGAAAAATGCAACTGACAACTCCTGACTGTTATCCAGAAGACTTGATCAGTCTTCATGGGGAAAGTAGTTCCGCTAAGATGTAGCAGACGCTCCAGTTCCTCCATTCGCCGGCTCCGTTTTGTGAGGGCAGCCGGGAGTCACTGCAGCTGGACAGGAGGGACCCCAGTTCTAGCCGGCGGGGATGGTCGTGTGTCAACGGCCTGTCAACGATTGTCACGACCATCGACCGACAAAACGGAGTCGGAGAAAAAGGGATAGCTGGAGCGGCTGCTACAAAGAACATATCTAACAACAGGCAGTGACTTTTCTATTCCTTTGATCATTGCAAAGTAGACTTGCTGTACATGTCACACACTCATTTTTTTACAGCCAACATGGTAAACTGACTAGAAACAGTGAAGACGACCCGAGAGCAAGCAGCCAAAGTCAAATGACATGTTTAGGCTAACGGAACACAATCCAGGCGTCAAAGGAGAGATTATTTGGACTTCATTTTGTGGCGCAAGAATCGCTAGACCATGGATCTCTTGACCTTCCGGCAGCTAAATAAATGCGATTTTCAGAAATTCCTAGGGCAAATGCCTCATTAAATCGGACAGACGGGAGTGTCAGTTATTTGTGACGTCTGAACATGTTGATGACTGGTTGGAGAATCAGGCTTACATATACATTTCACAATCACAGATTTATTTGATATACCCTACATTCTCCAAAAAACCTCACGATCTTGACTTCTCCATATGTGAAAATGCGTGTCATCTGTTTGGTACGGGCTATCAGTCGTAGATATGGTTGCACCCTCCTCACGGTCTGTTGGTGCTCGCGCATCCGTGTCTTCCCCTGACAGCCACTTTTTTGACAATCGGTTGCACTGACCGACCTCCCTTTTATGTCTTTCGATGACAGCACCTGCCACCAGAGTTATGCTACAGACCTACTCCAAGCCACATGTCACATCAAATCCCGGCTCCGTTATCACTTTTTTACGCTTTCTTGTGTATGATGCAGGTAAATGAAGAACAAGTATCAAAGTGCTCGCTGAACGGACTTGCGGTCTTCGTCCGTCTATTATGTCTGCGCGTAAACACTAATTTACCGAATGCGAAGTCAACCACCTAGCCTTGGTTTGACCCTCTTCGCTATGCGTCTGTTTATGCAGCTAAGGCGAATAGCACGCAATATAATCTTAAAGCAGATAGTTTTTGATAATTTCGCGGTTCCGTTTAAACTCTGGAATTCTATTCAAACCCGGTAGTGTCCGCAAATCGTGCTATTTTGGGGATCAAGATGCTCTTTAACCAATCTTACTATATGTGGAAGCATTGGAAAAGTGTCGTTGACGAAAAGACCTCTGGCAATGTACCTCGAATAGTAGGCGACACTGAAGAACTTAGAAATGGATTGCAAAAGCTAAACTGGCGTAGCTACGCAAGTGGGAAAAATAAAGGTTTGATCACCAACGTTTATGTGAACATTTTACTAAGCGAAGTAGACATATCAATCTCATGAATCATTCCTGGCGTTCTCAATTGGTCCGGCACGTTGATTGGGCCTATGGCGTTTAGCGTTGATTAAGTACCTTTTCCGAAAGAAGTTATTGTATTCACAACTGCGATCTGGTTAGACTTGTACTACTTCCAGGTCTGACAATGGCAAATGATAAAAGTCTACCCTACCTGCGAATCTAAAGAAATTTCTGAACACTGGGCTTGTCAAACCTGTACTGAACTTTGGAAAAACTTGCGGCTTGGAGCATCAGGGAAATCACTCCTTAACGACAGCGATTCATACTTCTTTCTACGCTTGCGGTACATGTGTTTCCAATGTTTCCAATGGCATTAATGCCTTTTTATTCACAAATGAGATTGGGTTTGAGAAAACACCATTTCGTATTTTGACGGTTTGATTATTAGCGGCATCAGCTACAGCAAGGACTTTTTATACAAGCAAAAATTTATGCAGTGGTTATATATAGAATTTTTGTTTTTAATCGCCGGTCTCCCAAAAGGAGATCAAGCGAGATTCTGAGTTTCACCTCTGACTCGATTTTGCCTGCAAGCATTAAATACAAAAGCAGAAATTATACGACTGCTTTTTTCACCAAACCTTACAAACTACACTTTAACTCTGAGTGTCCATCAAAGCAAGTTTCATATTAAAACCATTGCGCTCTAATTCCCTTCGGAACTTCAAAGAATTGCGGCTTTTGAAAGTATTACCAGGATGGTTAGACTGCGGCAGGTTTTCAAATGTCTCGACCTGTCTCATGAGAGATTTGATCAGTTCTAAATTGCTTGCTTTATTTCACTTACAAATGTCTTTCTGCATAAAATTAGCAGCAAAAACTTGGCTCAGGATTCGCAAGATATGTTTACATTGAAATAAACAGACTGGCCATAATGCAAATTGAAATTCAAAATGGCTGTTGCGATTATTTTTAAGATTTTTAGATGACGGTTTTATTATCAATGATTTCTGCCCATTACTGAAGGTCCCTTCCAGTTCCGAAGATATTTTTATCGTCATAATTTTTATACTGTTGTTGTACTATTAGAAATTTGAGTGTCATCGGTAACTCTTATAAACGAACATTTCCCATCCTTGCAATAAGTAATCAGCACGAAGTTCTTGATGACGAATATTATTAAACCAAGTGTCTAGGCACAGTTTGACTTCTGAATTAAACTTAAATTCTTAAGGTTGGCCTCAACCCACTTAAAACGCCCAAGGAATACCATCAATTCACTCTCACATAGAAAAGACGCTTTAAGAACTCTTGATTATCGACCGTCGCCTACCTCATATCCCCGGCACGCTGCCCACCCGACCTATTTTGTTCAGGTTCGATTCAGATGCATTGTCCATCTAAGCAGCACACACTTTTCTACTGTCTTCGATGATTGCAGTAACAAAACGTTCGGCCTGCTCGCATCCCGTTCGCCAAAAGTTTACCTTGAGAGCAGGCAGAGTTAAATGAGCTGTTATCACAAAACTATACATGGAAAGATGGACATATTAATTGATTACCACTTAATTATGGTCGTGACCACAACAAGCATTCAGTTCATAGGCTGGAATGATGCATCTGTACGCTGATATGACCAATCCTAAAAGGGGATGGTCGACACAGCACGTAAACCGCAGTCGGTCTTAATCGAAATCTGAATGCAAACAACCATGTGTGGCGATCGAGAACGTCACTTTCGTATTAGACTCCGACACACTGACCTCAAACAGTAACTGGAGTTACAAGTGAAATCGGTCTACAGCAGGTGGGCTAACTCATCGAAGTGTCAGGTGAAATTCCGAAATGAGTTTACGTTTCAAAAGTAGTACTTAATTTAGGCTGAGAAACTAATAATCATACAGCATAATTCTATAATAATCTAGTTACCATAGTGTGCCGGCTTCGCGAATGAGCTTATTTTCGGCTGCGTGCAGGAACTATACACTGAAAAAAATGATTAAATACGTAGCATGCAATTTTCTCGTTGATTTTTCATGCCTTTAAAAGTTTAATTATATTTCATGAAAAACGCATAAAAATATTCATTCTTTTATTTTGCCGGTAGAATATTAGGTCCTCGTTCAGTATTATGCTAGAAGGAGGAGTATAATTCAGTTTCAAAAGTTTCTAATTGCAAGTTTCTGTAATACCGTGAATTGGCAGTTCATAAAACGTAATGTATCTGCACTTACCAATGTGGCTTGTAAAGTTAACAATATTACTCAAATCCACTGCTAAATTTTAAGAACCCCATATAACCTCCTCTTGGTTCCGTAGAGGAGTGCGTGGTTTTCCGTACGCGGCTTATGGTTCGGTAATCCAGAATGCAAGAGGATGTGATTTCCCACCAAATGAGTAAGAGAATCAATATTTTTATGCCCGCTTCCTCTGAAATATTATTGAATTCTTAAGGGCATCGAAAATCATTGAGAAAAGTGCATGCTACTTACTTAGTCATTTTTTACAGAGCATAGTTACTGCATGCCCGAAGGCCGGCAGTAGCTGGATTATTATAGAATTCTGCTGCATGGTAATTAGTTCTATAACCCTTCTTAATTAATCTTACTGAAACGAAAACCCATTTTGAAATTTCAGCTGCCATTTCATGAGTTAGCACACCTACAGTAAACTCTTGCTAGCTCAGGGGGCGAACCTTGATACCTGGATAATAGTTTACGGAATGCTCTAATCTCAGGAGATTTTTAAATAACTAACTTGCGATGACTGTGCTGGAATTTGAGAAAGTCTGGGACTCAAACGACAGGACGGAAACCGCTCATACTCCAGATTTATTTTCGTCTCAGTGGTTTTCTTACCTCGACAGGTTTTTTTCTCATAGACTCCGAGTGCAATTGAACGGGTAAGTTTATCCCGAAGGTCACCTCTAATTGATGATTATAAAACGGGGGCTTCATCCAGTAACTGGACATAAAATGTAGTTCAGCAAGGGTTCGGGCTAGTTACAGAGGCTGACTGTGACTGCTAATGCCTTGGTGAAAGCGCAGACCAAACAATAAAAGCATCGTGACTGCGCTGGATTTTAAAAAATGCGGTCACCCAGAGAAAAGCAGAGAAATCACTTTCGATGACGTCTCTGCAGCCTTATATTCGTTCCCCTGGAGCGCGCTCCTCGGCAGGTTTTTTCAGGGTCCTATGCATGACAGGTTCAAGGGCCTGCGTAGAAAGAATCATCATTAGATAGTTTCAGAATTTGGTGATTTGCTCCTTTAGCACATTTTTGTACACTTTAAACCTCGAACTATATGTTAAAACCTGGGTTTTAAGTCGCAAACCTTTAAGTGAGAATATGGTGGAATTTTGGACCTCTCACCTAAAATCAATTTTTCCACATAAGGAATACGCACGTGTAGAGTTTTGTCGCCCTGTTTTTGTGACAGACGGCATTTGGCTTCATGCGCTACACACGCATTGAAATATGGGTGTTTTTAATCAATATGCCTTAGAAGTGATTTACTTGATATTTATGCAGTGTCGGGTCTCTTTATTATTAGCTCTGCCTCTGTCCAGTTTTATCTTTCGACGTTGGTGTCTTCATTCGAATTTCAAACCTATTTTGCATATTCTCATGTGAGGTAGTCATGTGGCTATAAGAACACGCCTCAAATTTCAAGAGGCATTTGAACGTAATAAGTGCATAACAAACGCAGAGATCCTTGAAAAATAAAATACCTTGCCTGGAATCCATTGCATTCTATGTATAGAGTAGGTGGGTTAACACATGAAATGGCAACCGAAATTTCGAAATACATTTTCGTTTCGACAGGATTAATTAAGTAGGGTTGTAAAACTAGTCAGCCTGCAACATAATTCTATAATAGTTAAGTTATCTCAGGATGCCGGTTTTCGAACGAACTTCCTTCCGGCCGCATGCAAAAACCACACTCTGTAAAAACTGACAACTTGAGTAGCATGAATTTTTCTGATTCATTTTCGATGCCCATCAAAGTCCATTTTTACTTCATGAAGAACATGCATAAAAATATTCATTCTTTCGCTCATGCGGTAAAAAACTACGTCTTTTTCCAATCTTGTACGCGAAAGATGGGCACAATTCGGTTTTTAAAACTTTTCCAATTCCAGAGTAATTTTGAACCCGCTCTACCATTACACATGGATTCAAGGTTACCAACCTACAAGCCGTGTATTTTCGGCGTACGAAAAACTACACAATTATCTACGGAAATAAAAAAAAGGCTTATGGAGTTCACAAAATGTAGCAGCGGATTTGCTCCATATTGTTAACTAACAAGCCACATTACTGAAAGTAAAGACATGCGGATTTAAGAACAGCTATTTCACGGTATTTAAAAGTTCACAATTAAAAACCCTTTTAAAACCAAACGATGTCCATCCTTCGAGTATTAAATCAGAAGAAGACGTAATTTTCTGCCGCATGGGCGAAAAAATGAATATTTTTATACATGTTCTGCATTAAGTATAACTGGACTATGATGGGCATCGAAAATCAATCAGAAAAATTCAAGTTACTCAAGTTGTTATTTTTTACAGAATGTGGGTTTTGCATGCGGCCGGCAGGACGTTTGTTCGAAAGCCGGCGTCCTAAGGTAACTAAAATATTATAGAATTATGTTGCAAACAGACGAGTTGTACAACTCTACTTTATTAATCCTATCCAAACGAAAACGCATCTAGGAATTTCGGTTGACATTTCATGAGTTAGCCCACCCGCTGTAGAAATAATTTATTTGATATTTGTAGTCTTGGGTCTCTTTATTATCTGCCCTGCGTCAGTACATTTTTATCTTTCGACGTTAGTATCTTCATTCGAATTTCAAATCGATTTTGCATATTCTCATGTGAGGTAGTCATGTGGCTATAAGGAACCGTCTCAAATTCCAAGAGGCAGTTAAACAGAATAAGTACATACCAAACGCAGAGATCCTTGAAAAATGAAATTCCCCGTCAGGAGTTCACTGCATCTCATGTATAAGTAGCTGCAATTCCAACTACTAATGAATTTTACCACAAGCTCCTTTTGACTTAAGATAAATACCTGGTGTCCATTTTTTCAGGAATTGTAGGGTCATCAGCGTTTTCTGATTATAAAAAATAAGAACAGTGAATGACCAAAATCATAAAATGTTGTCCCAAATTCTGAAATGCCTTTTCAAACAGGATCTATTACTTAAGTGGGTTGTAATATTAACTAGCATGCGGTATAATGAAATTATATTTCTGACTAGCCAGAACGTCAACTAATAAATGCACTTCTTTCCGACCTCCTGTAGAAATCTCACTTGGTTAAACATTACTACTTAATTAGCGTGCATTTTTCACATTGGTCTTCGATGGTCTTACAAATTTAAATATATTTTATAGAAAGCATGTCCAAAAATATGCTTTCGTTTACTCGTTTGGCAGAAAATCACGTTATCTTTACGTCTTATAGTCGAAGAAGGATATATTTTGGTCTTCAAAGGTTTTTAATTGTGCGATTTTTAAGATCGTTTAATGTTCATTCAAGTAGCATTTCACTTGTCAGTTTACCAATTCTCCTCATTAACTTGAAACATACTTCACATTCATTGCAAAATTTATAAACTCTATTTGATATCTTCGTAAAGCTCAAGAAAATATATGGTTCTTCTTACACGGAAAGCATGCATTTTGTATCCTAAACTCGGTAAACGCTGCTGCCACGGCTGATGAGGCTCAAATGTTTCGGGGATTGGGAAACATTTTGAAAAACTAAATATACCTTTTCTTTGAGTACAAAATATAAGAGCGGCACGTGCAATCGTCGCTTGAAAATTGGAGATATTTTGTTAAGTTATTCACAAGAAATACAATGTGCCGCTGAGCGAGTAGCGAATTATATATCGTACTAGGGTTAAAAAATTTCCCCTTAGTCTTAAATTCACTTGCCAGAAAGCATGCCACAAATACTTTTGGAAAAATCAGACACACTGAGACACATGACACATAAGAATACTGAACACTTTTCAGTCGTCTTAAATATGTATACATGCATATATATAAGAAATCTTAAAGGGGGCAGTCTAATAAATACGGTTTTTTGCAGTAGAGCTCAAGAACTATCGTCAAATAGAGCTTTTTTCATTATGAGAGCACAATATCCTTAAACCTACAAAAACAACATTTTCGTTTCTTTGACCGTGTATTCTTCTATCCGCAAGCAACCTGAACCTACCTGTTCTGCAAACTACCACAAGAAATGAACTGTTATATTGGAATTACGTTAGATTAGATAACGTACATTACTAAAGCAATGACGTCCTCTCGAATGAGAAGAGAAAGATTTTTTGGCAATGAACTATTTGACTACAAACTGGGCATTAGTCAGTGGAACATCATTATATGCTGCACCACATGAACCTCTTAATATACATTTTCGTTGGTGTTCCGTGAATTTCTGCATATACGTTGTACATCATATTTTGCTCTTCTGTTTTCTTAAACATAGTCATGGTGAATTGAATGGAGGTAGTTTATTATTCCTCCTACCCAACGTCCGACGGCCTCCCGAAGACCTGATGACTACTCGTGAAATGTGTCTAACTTGCTGACTTCGCCAGAGGAATTATTTTATGTTAAAACTTTTCTATCTCTGGCTGTGACAAATGATCAGCATAATGCGCGTTCCTTTGATGCCGTCACACTGCATTCGAAAAAAGTTTCATTTATTTTGAATTCTAGGCCCTCAGCTTCCTCCAAATGTTCGTTTACTGAAGGAATTTGTGATTCCATCAAATATCGTTCAATCTCATCTGCTTCTTTTCAGCAACGACATCGGCGTAAGTTAAGCAGTGTTTCCACTTTTCCTGTGTAGCAGTAGACAGGTTTCTGTTTCATTACATAAAATATCGATTTAGTTGCCTTAAAATTACCCTCAACGTTACCTTTTTTGGATTGTAAAGTAGCAAATTGTTAGCTTAAGTGTTTTTCGGTGATAAGATATGCGTGTAACATCACGTTTTTCAGTAAATCCAGAAGTATATACGGGTGAAAAGTCTAAATGATAGATATTTGCCATAAATTTGTGTCACCTTATTGTGTCAACTGATTATCGTCGTTGTGTTTTAATTGGATAAAATAAACTTATCAATTAGAGCGCGACCTACAGGGAGAAGACATGATAGGTAAATAAAACACTTACGCACCGGAGACAATTTTGTCTAGACATGACT